TTTCTTATAAGGATATAAGATCGGTATTCATAAAATTAGGTTTTCTTCTTTTTAAACGACAAGTATGAAAAGTAACTATCTTTATAGAAAAAATAAATAAAAATTCAGTCCACTGATTTTTTTTTCAAAATTTTAAGAAAATATTCATTTCTTAAATTTTTTGTGAAGTTGTAAAGTAACAAAAATCACAGAACGAGAAGAATAAACATTTATAAACCACTATTATCGACTGCATAATGTCTATACCTAATCGGGTTGTCACAATGCAAATAAAGAAGGATTTCATTTTACACTAAAAGTAAATATAAATTAAGGATTAATTATCATGATCCTTACCTACTATAACTAAGCGATGCATCAATACAATATTACATGATAGTATAAAAAGGTTATATTACTGCTATCAAATTTTAATTCAATATTAAAGGGAAGCTTGTATATAACTTGCACGCTCAGTTACAATATTACAAATGTACGTAGCAATTTAATAGGGGCAATATGCTCACAGAAATTCAATATGCACAAACTGCTACAAGAATCAAGATGTATGCTAAATGTTTATAATTGTCTCTGGACTACAAGAGAGTGCATTTCCCAATAAAACTGTCCAGACAGTGATGGGAGATGGTGATGCAGCTTGCATGCTTGATTTGTTTTGTAAATTCAAATTACTGACTAGTGACTAATAGAATCCTCATCAAAAGAATTTAAACATGTTATCTGTTCCGGGCATGTCATTGGTCTTGACTAACAAGGGATACTCTTCAAATATACACAGTCAAGTGTGTATGAATTATGTAACATACCACGGAAATGTCAACATGCTTACGAACAAATTCATAAAATCCTGACAATAAAATATTGCATAATTTTTTTCAAAAAATATAGTTTTGAATCAGATGCCATAAAAAATTTAGATTCATTCCTAGTAACAATTCCTTTCTAATCTCAAGCTCTCCAATCAAGCATTTGAACATAATAAGAAGGAAAAAAACATACATCAACAATCTATATCAATTTCCTCAACTTTCATCCTATCATTCAATTCAACTTAATTGAAGGAAGGTATGACAATATACTTAATAGATTACCTCTATTCATGAATCTATTAAGGCTTGAGCAAGAGTGAGAAACCAAACTTGGGATTCTTGTCCAAATCCTTTGTTTCAAAAGCACCCGAGATTGTCAAGAATGATTTACGTGTTAGCTCATGCTGCAATAAAGCCCCAAGGTTGCCATGGTTGTTCAGTTTTGCTTTCACAACTGTCTGCGGATCAACCACATAAGAACATCCAACTGTCAATGTGTTCTCATTTGAAGAGAACCTTCTGCTAATCTCTCCCACAACAGCTCCCCCATTCAATCTATCTAACTGGTGCAAATATGACACCTTCATGGAGTCTCCCTTATCACCTCTGCAAAAATGAAAAGTACACTATTATATAACTAAACATTAATCTGCCAAAGTTGGCATCGCATACAAATTTATGCTCTCAAATTGTAGGGTGTGTATCTCAACACCACTAACACGGGTAGCAGTTATTCAATAACTCTTCCAAAACATAAATGCCAGGAACACACTCCTTATACATACTACTTCTTACGACCAACTGAAATATACTAGAAATCACAAAATTGTGTCTTACTCTTATTTAATGAGTCTCCACATTCTTCTAATTTTGTCGTTCCCAATAAATTTTAACCAATAATAGAAAATGTCTTAAAGAATGTGTCACCAATACTTCTATCATGAGAAAAAAAAATCTAAAAATTGTTATAGAAAGAACATCCTAGTTGCATTCAAATAACCATTACATCTACAAGTATTTGCCATTGCAAAGATGCATTCCATGTACTAATTAAACATCTGACAATTAAAAACACTTCAATTACTTACAATATTACTGAAGCATTGGAACTTGGCATTTTCAAGCACACACCAGCATTGTATTTCGTAAACTTGCCAACACTTGTGGAGTAGCTGGTTTCTGCTCCAAAGGCAATGCTGGGTGTACCCATAGTCCCAGAAAAATCAACAGCAGGGGAACAGTTTAAACCAACACCAACAGTAAAAGCCACATGATCATGAAGATACTGAACCTCAAACTACATCAAAAACATGTAACTATTACAAGTCTAACATAACAAATTTCACTCCAATCTTATATCAGAAGAGACAACATTCTTAGTACCTTGCCAGAACTGTAATCAGGTAGACGTATCGAAGCAATGGTTTTTGCAGATGGCACAACATCAGAGACAGTGAATGTCGTCAACACCTAAAGAACAATATTCAATTACTAACGAAAGCGGAAAATATTATACTTTCAAATTTATGAAATAGAAGATAAGAGGTAAATAAATACATTTGATTCAGTATCAACTTTGACATTAACAGCTTTGTTGTTATACTTGAATTCCGCAGCCACGTCACCAGAGGAAAGTCCTCTACTCTTCACCAATGTTGAGTTCAGGTCCTGAAATTGTGACAAGTAACAACAACAACAACAAGCAATTACTACTTTCTCTCAAAGAAGATGCAGAAGAACCAAGTCCTCGTCTGCATTAATTCATTTTACCTTGTTAAAAAAGATAAAACTTAGTACTATTGCTACTGCTTTAATCAGAATTAAAGTTTCATCTTAATAATATGCAAAAATATATATTATAGATTTCTGCATTAAATATAAATCCATGTTATTGAAATAAAACTCTAATATTGATTAGAAAAAAGTTCCAAGTAGGTAATGTAACTAAATTTTGTCCTAATTTTTATTCTAGCGTCAATACTTACGCGACGTAACACAGTTATCGTTTCTCTTGAATTGGAAATGAATTACGCAATTCAAATAATCAGAAAATAAATTCGAAATGAATGTAAAGCGAATACTGAGAGAGAGAATAGAGGATCGAGAAGCGAAGTGAACGCACGAGACCGGTATTGGTGGAGGAAGAGATGGTGAATCTTTGATCGGAGTTGTAATCCTTCGTGAGAATCTCTGCGGAAGCGAAATCGGAATTTAGTTTGCGACGAAAGCGCGTAAGAAGTGAAAATGGGAGAGAGATTTGTTTTACCTCTGCCTCTCTTGCCGATATCAGAGAAGAAACCAGGTCCTTTGCCAGACATTTTCGCTGCAAAAACAAACACCACCAACAACTAAGGGTTTATGTAAACCCTTTTTCCATGAACCAAAATATAAACCATAAAAAATAGGGCCAAAAATTATTTCACAAATAGAATTGCTCTCGTTGAGAGTCGAACTCAAGACCTCCCGCTTACTAAACGGGTGCTCTAACCAACTGAGCTACGAGAGCTTGTTGCTGTTTTCCCTATCATTACTTTATTAACTATTTTCTTTGCCATGTGGATTTTGAAGCTGGGCTTTTAGTAACCCCAGCACAATCCCTCTGCTTTAAGTATGATATAAAATCCTGATACTGTTTGACAGACATTCATAGGGTCAGTTAACAAGACGAAAGAGACTGTGTTACTGGATGAAACACATTCAAATTCTCACTCATAAATACACGTCCAAATTTACATAATACGCATCAGAATATAATGTTTATAGTTTTTTTCAAAAAAAATTGGAGCACCAAAATAAGTGATAGATTCTATTTAATACCAAATTAAGATTGTATTTGATGTTGATGATTAACTTTTTAAATGTTTGAAGTACTAGCACTATCATTCTTTTTTTTCTTTTTTTAATGAAGACACACTTGATCTAAGTATCTATTTTTTCAAGAGATTCTCAATTTGCTTTTTCATATTAAACAACTTAGTTGGAGTCATTCTATAAGAAGTTATTGATGCTACCCACATACATGAAATTAAGTTAATATAAAACTCCACTTTTCTCTTAGCAAGTAACTCTAGAACTTCATGTAAAAATACCTTACAGTAATTTCTGACTACCTCAATTGCATCAATCAACTACATTAAGTTAATATAAAACTCCACTTTTCTCTTAGCAAGTAACTCTAGAACTTCATGTAAAAATACCTTACAGTAATTTCTGACTACCTCAATTGCATCAATCAACTACATTAAGTTAATATAAAACTCCACTTTTCTCTTAGCAAGTAACTCTAGAACTTCATGTAAAAATACCTTACAGTAATTTCTGACTACCTCAATTGCATCAATCAACTACATTAAGTTAATATAAAACTCCACTTTTCTCTTAGCAAGTAACTCTAGAACTTCATGTAAAAATACCTTACAGTAATTTCTGACTACCTCAATTGCATCAATCAACTACTCACACTTCACACTTAGAGAGGAGAAAACAACATAACATTGGGCTTCTTTCTTTAACATATCATCTACTTGCTTAGTAGAAACCAACTTATGCTTCTCAACTTCAAAAAAGATCAACGCCTTCTTAACACAATCTATCAGGGTGTGATTACCAAATAATCAATTCATCCCTAAGATCGCAACTAACTCAACCAAAGGCAAACAAATCAAGTTCACCTTATAACAACACCCACACACTTCAACCAAATAATGCATACATACATTAGAAGTCATAACAAACACAAAAGTAAAAGTAGATATCAACATATCAAAACTCAGAGAGCTAACAAGTAACTTTAAATTTTGTACACATATAATACAGATAAAAGAGTGCATAGCACCCAAGTCAAAAAAGGATTAAGATATCATTACCAACAGTTAGATATATCCATACATCAAAAGTTATACATATTCTATGTAGAATGAGAATTAAATATTATTTAGCTTTTCTTGATTAGTTAAAAACACTTTATTGCAATCAATTATTGAAGTGTTTCTACAAATAGGTTTAAAATTAGGATTTAACACTTTATTTATTGTTCAAACGCCTTCAAATTCACCATAATTATATGGAAGATCATGCATGATAAAACACCTAGCAAGTGCATCTTTATAAGCCTTAGGATCAAATTTCCACTACTTCAATAAACTAACTTTGTTATCTAATGTAACCCCAACATCTTGGTACTTAGAAGATCTAATACATTTAATAATATAATGTCTTAAATGATTAGTACCTGAAATAGGTTTACATGTATACAATTTTTCACAATCATTACATTTATCCACCCAATCAACTAGACCAATCTTTTCATAATAATTTCATACCTTAGAGGTATTAGGTTTACTTTTCTTAGCCTTTTTCAGTATCTTGGTCTTGATCATTGATAACCCTTCTCTTGCTTTTATTGCCAATAGTAGTAACAAAAGGATTAATAACAATGGTAAGCTTTTTCCTCGTGTTAGGTAGAGTCTCAATTATATCTAAATCATCCTCCATATTTCAAAAATATCATCAACATTCATGACTACAATATTCAAAATTAAACAAGTTTACTCATTTAGTATACAATTCCTACAAAGGATCATAATTTTATAACAAGCCAAATTCAGTTCATAATTCTCAGTTCACATAACACAATCCTTACAAAAATAAAATAACATACTTGATATTTGGTAAGAGTTGGATCCAAGAACAACAATACCAACAAGTAATAAAGAAATAAATGATAATTGAAATGAGATAGGAAAAATATTATAACAAAAACAAAGAGACTCATTAACTAGTTAAATATATTTCAATAGTTTAGTAGATAAACATCATATCATAAAGAGAAAAAATGTTTCTTATAGAGTGAAGTGGTATCCTGTAATTTCGTGGTCTAAGTGATAACGATGATTCATTATCGTCACTTTGTGAACACAAGCGCTTGCGTGATTGGATCTTTGTCTTTTTCAAAAAATGAAATAGATATTATGAGTTAGAGGGTCAAGCCATTAAGGGGGTAATAGGAGTGGCTAACCCTAACTTTAAGTTTGTAACCAAAAGATTTCATGGATTTGATTCACATTGACATTTGTGGATCGATGAGGACATCATCACTTTACAACAACAGGTACTTCATCATTTTCATCGATGACTTTTATAGAATGATATGGGTTTACTTTCTTAAAGAAAAACCAATTTTTTTTTAAATCTTCAAGAAGTTTAAAGCTTTTATGGAAAAGAAAAGTGAAAAACATATAAAAGTACTTAAGAGTGATTGCAACAAAGAATACAACTCATACAAGTTCAACAAGTATTGTGAGGATGAAGACATTAAATGACAACCTATAATTGCATATTCTCTGCAACATGTTGTCTCTGAGAGAATGAGTCACATAATCTTATAGATGGTTAAATTAATGCTAAAGGAAAAAGGTTTGCCTAATAATTTTTGGGCTGAAGTAATTTACTTTGTAGTTTATATACTTAATAGATGTCCAACCAAGGCAATCCAAGATAAAACTCCTATTGAAGCTTGGAGTGAAAGAAAGCCATTAGTTAAACACCTGTGAGCATTTGGATCTATATGCTACATATATATATTCTTGATGAAAAGAGGTACAAACTAGAAGACAAGACTATATGAGGAATCTTCTTACGGTATAACATGCAGTCAAAAGGCTATCAAGTTTACAACTTGCAAACAAAGAAGCTCATCGTTAGTTGAGATGTTGAGGTTGATGAAAATGTTGCTTAGAATTGGGAAGAAGAAAAAGTTTCTAAAAGTAACATTTTTGTACCAATACAACAACCTCAAGAAATGGAAAGAAATCCAGACATTTATGAAACTTGCAATACAATTTTGTTTGAATCTAAGTGTTAAGTCAGAAGATAATCTTAGACTCTCCAAGATTTCAAGTTTTAATGATAACAAACATAGATATTTTTGGAGAGAAAAGTTTTTTTAAGATGAATTTTTGTAAGATGGTTTGATTAAGACGTTTAGTTATCTTGACATTAAGTTTCACAGACGAAGCACTTCATCTGTAAGACATATGCTCTTAACTTACATTATTTATGATGTTTGATAAGAGAATCATTTTTGTTCACAGGATTCCTTAACAAGTCAAATTAATAAAGCTTATTTGGTACTCACAATTCACTAAAGGAACTACAAAATTGTTTTTTTTTTCAAAAAGGGACTAGAATATCTTATAAAGAATGAAAAATTCCAAGAAAAGTCGTTTCAAACTGATACATGCATGGTTCTTCACTTTTGGTACCTAGAAAGTGATAAGTAGTTTCCTTAACCAGATAAAAAGTGATAATTTGGTGAAACACATTTAATTCAATCATTTAATATACCAACAGACACTTTCCTCTACAAGGAGCAAAGATGAAGACAAATGAAACAAGCCTTTGGGAGATGCTCAAGGTTTTACAATGGTTGTGACACCTTCTACCCCAACATACATATACAGTAATTATAAAAATAAAATAAAATTTTTCATCAATAAAAACCAAATTTTCAACCACGTATGGGTAAAGAGCTCACATTCATAAACTTAATCCAAATAACATGCCGGTAAAATTACAAAGAAATAAAACTGAGTTTTCCAAGATAATTTAATAAGAACATCTTAAACTAATCTTATCTATGCCCCGATATCACATGTCCTATCAAAGCAAAGCCCAACATAGAAGCCTAAACTTCATCACCAACATCATCAGCCTCACACTAATGATCACCTGTATGACAGTCAAAGAAAACAACACAAGAAAAAAAGGAGTGAGAAACATCTTACTCTGGCTCACAGCGTAGAAATATACGCCGGATAGCCAAACACAAACAAGACAGGTATAACATAGATAAATTAATAATAACATCACATCTCACTTATCCAAGACATATCAATTTTTCATATAACATTAAAATGCACATGTATGGACACAGACTACATTTTATCATGCATGTGGCGCTAGTAAAACATCACATGGCATATTGCCGCTAGCAAAACACGAAGAGTAGTCTAGGAGTACATGCCGGGTCACACCCTCTACGCACTCTCACTAGAAGGACATATTACCAGAGTCTTGTCGGGATAGCTAAGTCGTGCAAGATACATCCCATGCACACAATGGGTGAGACTAGGACTGTAACAGCCCAATTTTCACTGGGCCAAGGGCCCAATTAGGGTGGATAAGTAGCCCGGAACGGGCCGTTCCAAAAGTGGAACGGGTCGTTCCAAATGATGAAAATGAACCCATTTTTTAAGTAGAAGAACGGGCCGTTCCAAAGTAGAAAATTTGCCTATTTGGGTTGTTCCAGAACGGGTCGTTCCCAAAGTGAAACAGGCCGTTCCGGAATAAGAAAAATGCTTAAAATATTTTAGTTGGAACGGGCCGTTCCAGTGGAAAAT